TGTCCATCTGGCAAAGCACTCTCGACACTAGCATCATGCCCTATGAATGAATGAAAGCAGGTCTCAAAGACTTCTCATGATTGGTTCTAAAACACGGCCAATATCCCTCCATGAACTATATGTACACAGTTAAGCCGATAAGCATAGGAAGCCAATAAGTTTTGGTGAAGGTAATTTAGTTTTGATTCATTTCAGGAACGAACGCTTTCGTGAAGGGGCGTCATGCTAAATTGCTGATGGCCTATTCAAGGTTCTTGAACACATTGGTGAAAATGTTTACAAAATAGAACTTCCTGGTGAAGTTTCTTCCACATTTAACGTCCCTCATCTTTGTGTCCCTGGGTGTTCTTGGTGAGCATTGTTTTTATTCTCAAATTCAAGTTGCCTTTTTTTAGTAATAGCAAAAATACCCTTCAAATTCTTGCGGGACCTCGCCCTTAATGGGATGGAAATTACCTGCTCAAATAGGGTAATTGGGCCAGGTAGAGAGAATTCTGTCCCTAGGTGGGTACAGGGCAAGTACAGGTAACGGGGCTCTGCTCCACCCCACCATGTTTAATTTAATTTTTTTATATAAAGAATTTAATACTTTATATGGAAAAAACTCCACAAAATTTTATTAATTTTAATAGAAAGATGGCAACTAAGATTATCAAATGAATATGATAAATAATAAAAACCTTTGTTTATCAAATATATTCGAATAATTTAACATTTAAAAATAAATAATTAAATTAAAAATTTAATAACTATATTATTGTCTCACTTGAATGAACGTGGGTAATAAAATAAATTACTAAAAGTTATGAAAAAATTAAATTGGTACGTAAATGGGACAACCGTTGAGCCCCACCCCTCGCTTCGCCTTAAACGGGTAATGGAGTGGGAAAATGCCCAACGGGATGGGGGCAGGGGAGTCTTCCTTGCTTTGAAGCTGCCCCGTTGCCAACCCTAGCTTTTTCTTTGGGTGGTGTTAATCCGTTTCCAATTGGTGTCAACTTGAGGTTGTGGACTATTCTTTTTTCAGTTTTCTTGTCTAAAGAAATCCGGCATCAATGTCTAAAAATTGATCTTTACTTTAAAAAAGGTAATCTTTTACATCAACTTAGCCTGGCTAGTTTATGTAACTACAAAATTTAAACTTTCTTTAACTTCTCTTAATCTTGTTTCTCTCAAATTTTTTCATACTCGGACTCCTCTTCCTTTTCTCTCAACTTGCTCTTCTTATTGTCAACCACAAAATCTTATCCTTTTCCCATTTCCTCCTCTATCATCGAAACAATCTCTTCCTGCCTATTGTGTCTATGGTCTTCCCTCACCTCCTTATGATTGTCAGTCCTACTTCCAGCTAAATGACATAATCTAGGATCATCCTTTTCGTTACATCGTAGAATATTTAATACTAAATCTACGTAACCATTTGTATCAAAGTATGTTACATGTTATATAATTGAATTAACAAACTACGGTACATATGATTTAACATATATAACAATTTAAAATACTATGTTACATTATATATTATATCTAATAGACAAAATTCTCAGAATATTCACTTTATCCTCAAAACATTGTGAATTCTTTTCAGGAATGCAACGCTTAATTTTTACAGAATGCTATTTTGAGATGTTAGGTTATGTAACACAGGTTAACAGATGTAATTTTCTTCACCAAAGTTAGAAAAAACCAAATATATTTCATAATCCGAATACAAATGCATCACATAGGTAACTAGATATATTTCTTAAGTTGATTGCTTATATAAGCAAGAAGAGAATATTTTATTAAATCGCAAGAATGTTGAAATTCCTAATTGAAATACTAAAAACTTAGATGATGAAATACGAGAAATTGTAGGTTTACTCCCTTGTTGTAGAGATTTAGAAGCTTTTTTCAAACATTATAAAATTTATTTCCAGTTTACACGGGGTTAAATGTTGTGTAATCTATGTCCACAGGAATATGTGTAGTTGAATGGTCGCATGTCCGGAACACATGTTTTGGCCTCGTGTGTCCATAACTCAAAATAGGTGACTTTTAAAATATCTTTGATACTATATTCAATCCGGAAATTCATTCCGTAAATATGACCAGCAACAAGAAAAATAAATACAATAACTAGATGATGGTGAGCAATATCGATCAGCCATAAACTTTGTATTTGTAGATGGAATCCCTCGAAAAGAGTTAGAATGACTGTTCTTGTTCCTTGGGAGGTCTCAAATAAATGATTGCTTCAACCAGGGCTTTTAGCATAAAGATTTCACTGACCTTTAAAAACTAAAAACTTGGCCTAACCCTTGGGGATGTGGTGATACCTCTAAGAAATTATTTATTACCATATGTTATTTATTATTAAAAAATACAGGAGCTAGAAGAGCTCTCATTCTTTTCAATGCCAGAAAACCCAGTTATTCTTTCATCCGGTTGACAGCCCAAGAAAAAGGGCAATAGGTCACTATAGGGACATGAACCCCCATAAAAGACCTTATTTTATGCCTAGAAAGGGAATTCCATAGGGATAACTCAACTTTTTGTGGAAGTGACATGTTGTGCAATTATCTTATGTTACATTTATTAGATAATCAACATCAGACCTCTATTTCCAATCAAAACCATATAGGTCTTACATCTAGAGGGTTCAAATCCAGCACTACCATATCCTCACCATCACCTTTGACACTCCAACCACATCTCAGTTCATCACCTCCCTACCACATTTTCGATCAGCACAAATTCCACCCACCACAAAACAGGAAAACACAAATTTCCCTTTGAATATGGCACAAAACCTATTTGGAAGATTTATGGTAGTGGCAACTTATGCAGATGGTGTTGGTGATCAGCGTGGAAGTGCTGAATTTTCAGATCCAAATCGATTTAGATTTGAAATTCTTCATTGTATCATTGATCAGATAAAAACAAGAAAGTGTAGATATTTGGCGGGGATGATTTGATGGTGGAGGTATCGACGGTGGTGGTTGTACAAGATGGCAGCTATAGTAATCGACTGTTATAGTTAATTTTTTTGGAGATAACCGTAGTGTAAGCTTAATAGTACATGATCATACGTAATCCAACTTCACACGAAGAAGATGAATGAACTTCTAAAAAGTAGTTTCACGAGATTTACTTAATTGTCTTCACTACGATAATACGGTATTAAGACACGAACGCTTGATTTTTGTCTACTTAAATACAATGTCGAACCAATCATTTAAACACTTGAATTATTTGCAATTGGAAGAAATTGTATTAGTATATGTCACCGCCACAAATTTAAAACTGAAACTGCTGAACTATTATCTAACTTAAAGTTGGACTTTTGATACACTAACATGATACAAAAGTATGAAAACTTTGAAGCTAGTAATACCATACAAATTGAAGAGAAAAAAATCAAATAATAGTGATCAAGAAGAGATTCCCACACCTAGAAAATCTATGAAGGGAAGATTTTTCTTTTGGATTGATTCCTCTGCTGGGCCCTCAATCCTTTGGCCTGTCTCAGCACCATTTTGCATAAATTCTCCATTAATTATCCGCGGTTTTCTACTGACAAAACGACAATCCAAATAACCAAAGGAATTTGCGACCGCTGAATCTTCGTGGAATGAACTGCTAGAGCTAAAACTGTATTGATTACTACCTTTTCTTAAAATAATATCAGCAGCAGAAGATAAATTATATTTCGTTGAAAGGCTTGTACATGGCCACGATATGTATGAACCGGAGGAGGATGACAGAGTAAAGATTTTGTCTTTGTTTTGTTTATGGAATTCGAGAATCCCATTGTCTGAGAATCTAGAATTCTTTTCTCCAATAACATAGGAATGAGATTTGTCGTCCTTAGTTGCAAATTCTTGATTAATTTTCTTACCAGAAATCTTAGATTGTTCTCTTTGTTTTCTGGCCATAATGACATGCCAATGATTCTTAACAGCATTGTCTGTTCTACCTGGAAAAAATCTAGATATAAATGCCCACTTATTTCCATGTATTCTATGAGCTGCAAGAAGTCTTTCTTCTTCTTCTTCAGTAAATGGCCTTCTGTTTATTCTTGGATTGAGCTGATTAAACCATCTCAGTCTGCAACTTTTACCTGTGCATGTTGAACATATAATTTAAACAAATATGTATATTCTTTGTCTAACATGTTGAGCTTTTAAAAACTGTAATATGAGAGGAGTCAAATGTGTAAAGTACTCTCATCGAATTGAAGACATAATTTAAACAATCATCCATCTATCTAATAATTTAAACTTTTACATGAGTTGGGTTCAATAGAATGAAATCATCAAAACAAACTGAATCCTTTGAAAGTGAATAGTAACCTCGGAGAGATGATAGTAAAAAAATCTTAAATTATTATTATTATTATTTATTTATTTATTTTTATCTAAAAAAATAAGCTATTAAAAATGGGAGGATCTTGGTTGCAAGTGTATTCGTATGGATAAGGAAAAAAATGCATGAAAGATCTGATGCTGAAATTTTCATTATTTGAGGATTGTGAAACTTGAACTCGGCCCTGTACCCTAGGGTCTCGTTTAAAAGTTTAACAGCTATTTGAACTTTATTCATAACGAGACTCTTTGTTTTGGTGAAATCCTTAATTAAGTTACCTAAATATTTTGTGATTATAATATACATATGTAAAGGTTAGCAGTTATGCAAGTTAGATAATGGAAGAAAACAAGGAACCCTAATTTCTAAAACAGTAGAAGCTAAAGAATTATCCGAAAATCGAAAATAGTATAGTAACATTTATATAGATACCTGATCTTCCTTTAAGTTTTTCAGCAATGGAATTCCAATTTTGAGGGCCATATTGCTCGACAAGCTGCCGGAGTTTCTCATCTTCAGCTGGCCTCCAGTGCCCTCTAGGACAAGTCCTTGCTTCATCACAAGAGCCACTTCCTATTTCCTCCATCATGCACCCTGTCAACTGGAAATTTTCTAACCTCAGAAAAATATTGAAATTATAACACTAGGGAATAAAAAATAGGCTGCTTTAGAGATGAAATTTGCAGAAATTTCGTTGGTTTTGCCCTGGCTACTAAATGATCTCTACAGATTACATGTAGGAGAAGAAACAACCTTTTTTTTTTACTAAAATTGGTTGATGATTAGTCTATTATATTGTGACACAATTTATTGAAAATAAAGCTTAGTTGTTGGCAATGGAAGATTGTTAAATTTTGAAATTCTATTTTAGAAGGTCAGGCCGTAGAGAAGGGTTAACCAATTCTTTATAATATTGATTATTATTTTGCATATTTGAGCAATACAATCTACTCTTAATCAATCTATATAATAGGTTGCAGAGTATTTTGGGCTCAATACCATAGTTTTGAGATATATTCTTGAAAGGTTCGTCATTTTAAAAGAATAGTCCAAACCTTTTATGTTCAATATTGTTTTCATATCTAATCAATTATTGGAATTTTAGAACAAATAAAACATTGATCTCTGTCTTCATTCTTCATTTGTATTTTTCGTATCACCAAAGCTTCAAAAAATATAAATGAGAGAATCAATATCCTCGACAACAATCTTGTTTCAGAAATAAAGTCTGCATTCGCTTGTCAAGATTCGACACATTATTACGAAGGAAAAAAAAATAGCCAAGCAAAACATGTATTGTGTTTGGAGAAACTGACTATAAATGAAATGAACTCCCTACCCAATCTAAACAGAATAGAAACTCTAGACACAAAGAAAAATATAATATAGAAAATTTTAAAGAAAGATATATATAAAATATCAACCCATCAACTTAGTTTCTATGACAACATCTTTAGCTTGATGGGATGTTAAAATATAGATAAATTGTTATATAATTCTCTATAATATTTTGGCTGATAATATTTTCATAATAGTTTGATTATGCAGTTTTATGACTATTTCTTTTACAACTCTGTGTAACCATAAGAGAATCTTTTTCTTTGTAATTCATAGATGAAAAGACTATGCAATTTCATTTTTCCTAACGATCATATTATAAATACAGCTAAAAAGTATAATATTACTTTCATACAAAAGGAATAAATATAACTTAGTCTACTAAAGGTCAAACAGCGAAAAAAAGAAAAAAGAAAAAGGATATGAATAACTATAAAATTAACAAGAATTGAAAAGTAAGAATAAGATCATAAATATTCAAAGAAATAATATGTACCTTGAATTCAAAGAGATGAAGAGAGAAGGAGAAAAAAATTAACGCGATCAGTTGCTGAAGAGAGAGGTGGGAAGAGATTGATTTGAGTGATTGTATGGTTTAAAACATGAAAGCTTACAAGCATATTTCAAGTAGGTAATGGGGAATTAGAGGCTTGTTATTCCAGATGTCTTGGCTTATATATAAATATTCAAACTTGGTTGTTAGAAGTGATGAAAAAATAGCTAAGGTTTAATGGATTTTGTTGACAGTTTCAGCAGATCTTTTCTTTTATCTTTATTATTATTTTTTTTCTTTGAAGGGTTAACTCTATGTTCAAAAATTACAAGAATATTTGGACTTTTGTCCACACATTTAGAAATGTTCATGTGCATCCTTTTTTCAAAAATTTCTATGGAAAACAAGATGATGTGGCACATTCGATATATTTGAGTAAAATATACTCAAGAGGATATATATTTTAGAGTAATATTATTCATAATCAAAGATTTTGACAGTTATCATATATGACAGTTTATTATTTGATGCATTAATTTATTGTAATTATGTTACCTCAAATAACAAACTGTCATAGAATGATTACTGCAACTGTTGATTATGAATAATATTATTTAATGTTTTATAATCCCTATACATCCATCTTTGTGAAGCCATATTACATTTTCCCGGCTTGAAAAGTTGCCCTACAATATTAAGTGGGATATAGGGTCTTGTGATGAAAGCCTACGTTTGACCCTCATTTTTTAAAATTTGTTTTTCGTCAAACTCATTTTTAGTCATATATTTTCATAATAAAATATTTTTACGCGTAAACACCAAAAAAATTTTCATACTTAACTACACATTCTTCAAAAAATTACTATTCCAAAAACTATTAATCCAAAAAATAGGGCTCAAAAGGACAAGCTTCAAGAATTTTATTTTTATAAAACTGAGTTTAGTAACATAAATAAATCCGACTCAATTTAGCTAAAATTTCCATTGGGAGTAAACTATTGACAGACATTTGAGAGCCAAAATGTATGTACTCTTCATACAGATAGCAAGTCAAAAACAAACTTCGAAGGTCTTAATGCAATGAATATATAGAAGTAATTTATTAACTGATTAATTATTCCATGAACCCTGCTACACAATTTGGGATTTAAACCCGAGTTTAAATCCAGGCCGAGATGGCGTGACCTAGGCCCTCGATCTTGCAACACATGGGGCCTGCGCATACATACACTTCGGCCTGTCAACAGGGCTTGTCAATGGCCCTGTTTGACCGGCAAATCCCATACCCCCACAAAATCAAACACTTCTCGAAAAGCCTTTTTTTAAAATAAGCTTATCCATTAACATCATCTTTTATCAGCTAAACAAGACATCTCCTGTAGTAGGTGAAAAATCAGTGTCTCTAGCAGTAGCAGTGGTAAACTGGTGATGTGCCTGTTCACTAGAATATGTCTAATCAAAATAATAGATTTCTTCTATTAATAAACCGAACAAACTTTATGGAATCAATCAACATATGTATATGTGTATACATATTAATACGCACACTAAAATTCATCTCTACTTCTCGTCGCTATGTAAAATTTTTTTAAATCTGTCAACTTAAAGCTGGGACTTTGGTTGCGGGAATTCCATCTCTAATATAATTCACATAATTTATTATTATTATTATTATTATTATTTTTTTTTTTTGGGTGATCGACCCGTGTTCTTTCAACAAATCACAATTATGCAACAAGTTATCTGAGAAATATTTTCCCACATAAAACCTGTCTTTAATTCTATTTTATATGTTTTAATATTATTTTAACGATAGATTTTTTTCACAAAATAAATCACTGGTTTTGTTGTTTGAGAAAAATAGTAGGAAAAACACCTGTTGACGCCTCTTTTGGTAGTTTGTACGTCTATATAGTATGTATGTATAAAACAAGAAACCCTAACCTTTACATAGGGTTTACCTTTGATGAACCATGCATCGAAAGGTCTGGAATAGCTTTCAAGAAAATGTAAATTGTAAAACAATTCAGTTACTTACAGAGCTGAAAATAGATATGAATTTCTCCGAAGTGTCTTTATAAATAGTGAAAACTATTAAATATCTTCATCTCACCTTTTCAAGAAACCATATTAGCTACACATTAACAAACACCGATAAACCTCAACAAACAAACTTTGAATAACCCCATTCAACTCTTTGATATAATTCGCATTATATTTTATTTTTTAGTGTTTTAACCTATGAAAACGAACAATGAAATACAAAATAATTTAAAGTGGATATAACAAACACAAAACAAGAAAATAAACAACCAACAACCTTTTGATTTACGTCTAGTTTTAAATACGCTACAACAAGGTTTCTTTATCTCAGTGGCATGCTGGATTTGTGCATTGAAGAGGTGACATACTGATGCAACAAAAGCACAAAATAATGAACGTCACACTAAAAACTCGTTGATTTTAAGAATACACGAGAGTTCGGGGATCAAAACTTTGTTGATTTCTGTGGTGTATCTTAAAATTTGGTATAGTTTTGAGAGAAAATTCAATTTTATTGAAAAATACAACACATAACAAAGCTTTAAATACATATAATAATATTTTGTTTGAAATTTTTGTACAAGGTGTATTTATGCATTCCTAAATTTATGTTTATGTTCTACATTTTACACTAAGCTAAATATATTCAAACCAAAATTTCTTATAATCAAATCACATTTAATTGTATGAAAGGTTCATAATCTTTACTTATTGTCGCATTTATATTTCTAACCTTTCTCTTTGTATTTTTATCCTCAATTTTTCTTTATTTAGCACATCTTGTCACTGATAATGGTTTTCTTCCAAAAATTTTGCTAATAGACAATAAAATCACTTATTTTCCCATCAAAAATTTCAGTAAAAAACTAATATTGTGACTAAATATTTGTCTCTCGTTTTAAAGCACGTTAATGGAATTTTTAGACCAAACCCATCATTAAGAACAAAATTTTTGATGATCACAAATAAAGATAAAAAACGTGATGAAAAAAGTTAGACATGAATTTGATAATGAACAAATATTAAAGACCTTTAATGCATCTTAATACGATGCAATTATAAAGAAGTGTCGCGTGAATATAACAGCCATTTACACTATGGTAACAAAAAACAAATTTTGCCAAATATTTTATAAATTTATCATGAAAAGTAACTAAAAAAACCAAAACCAAAATCATAATCAAGAATTACAAATGACACCCTTTATATTACATTGTGTAACTCTTTGCATACTGATTTTTTAACTTTATTTTTATTCTAAATATTTACTGTTTCAATTTTCATTTTAATTTTTTTTGTCTCATTCATTTATCACTCCATATATTAACATTCGGTTGAGTCTCTCGCTACATCTTTTACATAAATGTTTTTCATTTTCATCTTTCACACAAAATTATATATTTCTCTAATTATATTTATATCTTATTCTACTTTACGAAGTTTTTTTCTCCTCGAAAAAGAAATAGTGCGCGGTAGATTTGATAAAATTATACATTCATTTTTACCAATTTATTACGCTGCCAAATTACCCAAAGGTGAATTGAATAAGAAATTTATTGACAAACTAAAATTATTTTTTATTTACTGGTGTTAAAAGTTTAGAAAAAGAAGTCAATAAATTTTATAAATTTAACGTAAAATAAAAATTATCATTCAAAAGAAAAAACCATTCAATGAAAAATTAATAATTAGAAAATATTATGCAAAATGTTACACAATGTAAAAGATATTGTGTGATTTGTTACTCCAATTAAGAGTATTTTTGTGTATTCAATTATTTATAATGGCATTTTTTAAATTTTTCAGCAAAGAGTACTTTTTGTAACCATTGCACAGAATAGAGTACGAAAAAAATAAGTTTACAGAGCATGATCTTATATTATTAGTAATAGTTGATCTTCTTTTCTTCGTTAGTGTAATTTTATTTTTATTATTTATTTATTATTATTATTTTTAAGAAGATCAAGTGTTCGAGCTGAAGAACTGATGAAAGTCTCATAGTGGAAACTTTAGATTGCCTTCCAACATGCTTATAAGATCAAGCCTTGTTGAGGAATGATTTTTACAAACCGGTCCCATTTTCTATTGTATGAGGATGTCAATTCTTTCAAATCCCATTCGAGTCACATTGGTTTGAACCAATTCAATTATAAATCGACTGAGCTGGTCAGACTAGATCTATCTATATGTTCAAATTTGAGAACATTAAACCGAAGAAAATAATATACAATTAATCAAAATGGGTTTTTAATCCATTTCAGTTTCTTGTCCAAATAATCAAAATAATACATTAAAAGAACGTTGTTTAGTTAGAAGAAAATTCGAAGGTGGCTACCTTAGAAAAAGAGATGGCGTGTCGTTAACCACAAACATATCCAACAAAATGAAGTAACCCACAAGAATGTATGAGTGCATTTGATTTTTGTTGCTGAAATTTAGTTAAAACTAACCCTATTTTATTCTTGAAAAACTAATTAATATGTTTCATTTGTCTTTAATTTCAGTTAACAAAACCCTCTAATTTTCAATTAAGGTGAAGTATATGGATTAAGATAGTGACAGTTTAGCTGATTTTATGATCATTCCAAGAATTATCTCAGGTGATTCCCCAAAAAAGTATTCAAACAATACTATTGATCCTGATTATGAGTGCTAGGGCTAAAAATTGACTTGTTTGATCGTCCTCTTTTTCTCTATAACCATAGCTACAATGAACAGTATGATATTTTTCTGTAGCCCTCTGATATTCAAGTCAATAGATATGTAATATAAACGTACCTAAAGAGCCTATAAAGGGCTCTATTTATAGTTTTCAAAGATCACATATGATTGTGTTCTTTTTGAATTAGCACTTGTTCGATGGAATGCTTTTTTTAATTGTGTTTATATGTGAATTTGTAAGGCTAGTTTTGTCCCCTTTTTTTTTTAATAAAATTCCAGTTTTATCGAGGACAATTGGTTTATCCTTTTATCAATCGAGGCTATATACAATAACAGAAAATCTAAAAACTCCGAACATAATCAGCCACAAAACATAACTAGTTAGATAAAACTTGAACTCGGGATTATGTTAGCTCTATACAATTTTGAATTACATCATTTAAGAGTTTAAATTGGTAAAGAG